GCAAGAAAATGTAAGTTTATTGGCCTCAACTAAGTTAAAAGTTGAATGAACCAGTATAACTGTTGTTTCAACTCAAAAAATGCATGTTGAATCAACTGCATCACAGCAAAAAAAATTAAGATACATTTTTTTTAAGGCAGCGGGGTAACAAAGTTGTTATTGTTTTTTACAGTGTAGTATTTATTAATATTGTAATTAATATGTTTTAAAAACATTTTGAGATTTCATCTTATTTTTAATGTAAGTTTTAGTAATCGTATCCTTTTTATTATTATTTTTTAAAACATTTATATTTAACTTTATTTTATATGAATTACTTAATTCATATTTTTAAATTAGTTTAATATTTTAAAATGAGTCATTTAAAAAATAATACATTAAAAATGGGTCATTTTAGTACTTCAACTTATTTATTTCAATTAGTTGCCAAGGCAACATGTCTAATTTTTCTTTTTTTAAGTTTAATTTTTCATCTAATATTTATATTTTTTACTTTATTTCAACTTTATTTTAATTACTGAACATTTTAATAGTTGATAGATTATGTTACTTGAAGTAATAAGCCCATGTCGAGGAAAAAAATCAGAAGTATTACACTCAAAAAACTGTAAACTGATTCTTCGGGGTACTGAGTGTAAAGATGAATGAATAATGGTCCAAAGAGAAAATTTTGAGTATCATCTTTATTTTATTTTATTTATTTTTTTATTTTTTTTATTGCATGAGGTACATAAAAAATGCACACCAATTAATTAGTTAATTAAATAATGTCATTAGTATAATTAATTACTATTATTAGTATATTTTTTTAAAGTATTTTTATATTAGTTTAGTATTTTCAAATACTAAACTATGTATCTTCAACTTATTTCAGTTACTTGCCAAGGCAACATTTCTAATTTTTTCCGATTTTTTTTTAATCTAATATTTATATTTGACTTTATTTCAGCTTTATTTTTAAGTACCCACAATGTTAGTAGTTTTATTTAGCGATGAGGCTCACATCACAGTCCTGAAGGTCGTCCATGGCGAGCAGGTTGTTGCCGTGGCGGAGCTGGAACTGGATGATGTTCAGCGCGGTCTGTATCTCGAGCCGCTCGTGTCCCGCGTGCGCTCCGGTCTCACACTCACGCAGCATGTCCTGCAGCAGCAGCCCGTATTTACTGATGCGCTGCACCGGCTTCAGCAGATACGAGGACAGATCCATCTTATCACCCAGCAGCTGCTGCTTCTGCTGCAATTCACATCATATTACTACAATTAATAAACAGATAAAGCATCAGAATCAGCATCACACTCAAAACACTTTAAACTGATGTATGTATAAAGATTAAACTCATGAATAATTGTTTAAAGAGGACATTTTATGCATCATCTTGTTTGCATGAGGAAATAGAAATATTATCATTAATGCTGTTGTGACTTTTTTTTTGCAAAGTCAGCACTGAATATTTGTTACAGGTGTGTCCTGTTCGGAAATGCACCTACGGTTTATGACAGAGTCGGTCAGTTATGGCAGGTATTTCCTGTTGAAATATGCTAATCATCATGCCACTCATTTCAAGTCGAATCAAACTTCTGACAAATGAAAGCTTTATCCTGAGCAGATGGATTTCCAAGAGAATGACCTCAACATTTCCCAACGCAGCCGAGATGAGGCCTGTTCCAGCGCCTGTTTGCCCATTACTTTACTTTTTGTCAGATGTGTGAAATATGGCATTACCAGATAAACTCTTTCATAATCTTCTTTTCTGAGGGGAATTTTTTCCCTATTATTTCTCAAGAATGAACAGAAAGGAGCTGGATAGAGATCCTTTAGGTAATACTTTAGATGCTTTTGTTGAGGGTCAAAGAATATTGAATTCCTTTCATTGTATTTGTAATAAATGACATGTTATGAATGGGATTTCATTTATAAATGCATTTGTCATTAAAAATGCCTTTCTCTGTCTCGAGTCTCGTTATGCAACTGAATTAGTCATTTATGTGCTTATATCATTTTTATTCCTTTTCATTTAAAAAAAAATTATGTTTGGCTAAATCAATTTTAGTTTTAGTAATTTTAGTACTTTAAGGCAACATTTATAATTTTAGTTTTTTAAGTTTATCTAATATTTATTTTTATATATTGTATATATTATTTGTTTAATATATTATTTACTCTTAGTTGCATTGATTTTATATTATATTAAGTTAATGCATTTAACATTTAAATGCAATTAAGCCATGCAAAAGTATTTATGTTTTATGCTGAAATTGTACATTTCTGTGTCTGTCTAAATGTAAAACAATGTCTCCATTTGAATTCATTTGAATACTAATGAAATTACCTTCAAATATCACGTTTGGATCACTTCTGGAGGAAGATCTCACCTTAAAGAACTCTCTCCCGTGATCGATGAGCAGTCTCTCAGAGCGAGGCTTGTTCTTGCTGTATAATGCGTACAGGCTGAAGTTTTCTTTCTGAGTTTGTGAGATAGTGTGAGATAGTGTTAGAATCACTGGTGCAAACAGTGGGCTTTTTGTTTCTTTCTATGAAGACATTTGAAGTGTATCTCTGTCATACTACATGAGTGGGATGCACTTCATTGAACAGAAAAAAAAAAAAAAAGCCCAAACAAGATCTGTATATAAATATATAACATTTTGATAAATAACACATTTTCCCTTAAATTCTCTAATGCATCCAAACATTTGACTTCAGATTTTTGTTGTTGTTGTAATATTCATTGTAATATTCATGCAGTTTAAATAATACTGTATATCAGTTTGTTTTTTGATTACAGTTATGAAAATGTGCATTAAAATAATAAATAAGATATTTAATATTTTTAAGAAAATTGGGGAGCAATTTTGACAACAAACACATTGTCCCTCAAATTCTCTAATGCATCCAAGCATTTTACTTTTTTTATTTTAAATATATATTTATTTTAATATTCATGGTTCAATTTAAATAATATATCAGTTTTTTGCCAAACATTTTCAAGCCTGTTTCTTTAGATTTTTTATTTTTTTTTGTAACATCCATTGTAATATTCATGCAATTTGAATAATATATCAGGGTTTTTTGCATTACAGTTATGAAAATGTGCATTAAAGTAATCCGTTTTAAATTGATAAGAAAATGGGGGAGGACTTTGACAACAAACACATTTCCCCCTCAAATTCTAATCATTTTACTTTAGATTTTTCTTTTTAAATTTAATGCAGTACAAATATAACAAACTCTAAAATGATAAGTACCTTGCAATTTAAATAATAATTTTTTCCTCAGCTATGAAAATATTTTGCAAAACTGTTCTTAACTTTCTTTCAAATAATGCAAACAAATATTAATGTTCCTATAATTATGATATCCTAAAAATTACAAATATCTAGGCTTAATTTTCTTAAGCAAAATTAATAAATTGTGTCTTATCATTTTGGGGTGAAATGCGACCTGCTTTTGTTTTTGGGTTGTATGGCTCTTTCATTAAAAGTGTATTAGTTTCTGGGTTCGTTAAAGCTGCATTAATGGGTTTCTATAAAATAAAGAGTTCTTTGTGGAGCTTTGAAAGTGAAACTGTGAAACTCTTTTCAATTTTAACTGGAAACTGCGAGTGTGTTCTGCTCAGAGCGCTCACGTGTTTTAAGAAGCAGCGTCCGACGCAGAAGGGCTCCTTCAGACACAGCTCCAGCTCCTGAAGGAAGTGATGCTGGTGAAAGTCTCGCAGCTTCTCCAGGTTCCCAAAGACGCTTCCTCTCTGTCCCCGCAGGTCCTGAGGCACGTCGGGACGCTCCAGCTCCGGCATGTAGTTCTCCACCACGTGCCCCAGCGCTCTCACATACTCTCTCTCCGTCTGAAGCAGCTCCTCCATGTTTTTGAAAGAAGTCTCTTCTGCTCACCGAGGCTGCATTTATTAGATTAAAAATACAGTAAAATCAGTAATATTATGAAATATTATTGCAGTTTAAAATAAGTGTTTTTTATTTGAATCTATTATAAAATGTAATTTATTTCTGTGATCAAAGCTGAGTTTTATTTAAACTTTTTGGAATAGTGTAGATTAATTTATTTGTATTGGAATGGAATTTATTTAAACTATATCATGTGGTAATGACTAATTTATTTAATCTTAAATATATAATCAATATTATATTTTTGGATGATCCAGTGAACTAAATAATTGACAAATAAAAGGCACTTCATCTCATTTGATTATTTTCTGTTTCTTTAAAACGTAATGGACGCAAAACAAAAGATTAGATTATTCATAACAAATGAATGAGTTGTTGTTCCTCTTCTTAACTGGTTTGAGACACGGCCCACTTTATATCTTCTCATTATGATGTTCTCATTCACACTTGTAAGTAAAGTAAGCGGTCTTTCAGTCTATCGAATACAAACTCCCAACTGTTTTTTTTTAATTTTACGATTGATTAATACACACTTTTTTTTGTCCCAGGGTTCCCACAATTGTTGACTAATAATTTGTAATAACCTTTTCCATTAGCTTTCCAGTTGTTTGTGATAATTGCATAAGAATTTATGCAAAATGATATCGCAACATAATTTGGATTCAGACCGATTAATTTATAAATCATTTATGAATCCTTTTAACTGATTCATTGAAAATAAATCATGCACAAATGAAAAATCACTAGGGTTTGCGAGCAAGTTTTATTTTCCCCAAGAGCAATATCATATGAATTAAATATGTTACTGCTCTGCACAATTAGAAATGTGTTTATTACAAATTCCATTAGTTTTAAGATTTTTCATATTTTTTAAGGCCTGGAGAACCCAGTTTAAAATTCTCTGATATTGCCAGGTTTTCAAGACTGTGGGAACCCTTGCTAATTACTCCAACATGTCTTTCAGTAATTCCCTCTTGTTTCACAAATAAATACATCACACTGCAGAAGTAAAATGGGTTGCAAATGTTGCATATTGAGAAGAAAGGGGCAGTTAATTGTCCGTGTTTGTTGACGAACCTCTTCACAGAAACGATAGAGATCGACAGACGTCTCCAGCTCGGATTTACGCTCCTCAGCTTTCAAGAGAAACCGAGTCATGTTGGTTTTGAAAGCGGTGGTGTTACAACGAAAAGCCTCAGTTTCAGGATAGTGCGTTCCTTCGCTTTTCCTCTCCACTTCCTTTATCAACGACATCCCTTTTTCTTTTTTCTCCTAGAAAAAAAGAAATTGCACACTTTATGCAATGTCTCAAAGATGTCTGGAAACCTTCACCTCTTATTATTATTTAAGACAGCACATTCCTGTACCATTTTTCAATATCTTCAACTCTGTGAGTTCTCAGAACTCAGCAGTTCACAGAAATCTATTATCCACAATCTAGTCTGATAACATTCAGGGATTCATATTATGGACCATTCATCTAGTCTGTATATTTGAGTAAATGTCTCAAGGATTCGTTACCTTGGCTTGTATAAGAACGGACTGAACGTCTTGTAGTCTCTGCTCTATTTTCAGCAGAGTTTTCTCTGTGTCATCTTTGTCCTTCTGCCATGAATGTTCCTCTGCATCACACCATTTCTGGATCTGTGAACAACATAAACAACAATTAATTATACACAAGAATTAAACGAGCTGAATTTATGGTATTTATGCTCACAGAAAACACTTCAAGAGCTGCGGGACTCCAATATGAGATACTGCTGACTCCACCAGACCTCTTAAAGACATCTGTGCTACACTGCTGATCATCACTGAAAACTGTTTTCACTCATCCCTTACAGTTTACATTAAATGATAGTAACACTTTATAATAAGGTTCCATTTGTTAACATTATGGACAGTTCACAGTTCAGTGACACTTTCTCCAGTGAAAAAGCCCATCCTTCTGTTGTCTGTCACATCAAAATCCACCCACATATTTATTTTGGACTGTTTACGCTTGTAAACAGTACTTGATCTGTGCATATTTCTCTCCTGATTCAGACAAAACGACTTTTTCACTGGAGAAAGCTATATTATGGATAGAGGACTCGCTTCTCCAGATGTTAACTGATGGACTGGAGTGGTGTGGATTACTTGTGGATTATTGTGATGTTTTTATCAGCTGTTTGGACTCTCGTTCTGACGGCACCCATTCACTGCAGAGCATCCATTGCTGAGCAAGTGATGCAATGCTACATTTCTCCAAATCTGATGAAGAAACAAACTCATCTACATCTCCGATGGCCTGAGGGTGAGGACATTTTTAGAAATTTTCATTTTTGCATGAACTGTTGCTTTAATGCATGAACTAATATTAACAAAAGAGACCTTATTATAAAGTGTTACCCAAAAAAATCACAAAATCATGGTTACTTACTATGCATTTTGAGAGTTTAAAAGCACAAATGTGAAGCTTGTATTTTTGTTAAAGCACTAACATGAATTATTCATTATTTTTGGATCTAGTTAATACACAGTATCTAGTTAAGCATAACAGATATAATTTCAATGAGTAGATCTTTACATGGTCATGACATGGTTGGATATAACATAATTGTAAGTCTTACTGATATCCGTTTGAATGGTGCATTTTAACATTTATTGCCTTGTCCTGTTTACTTTCATTATTTGTGCCTTACCACTATGTTTTTTAACTTAGAGCCAAAGTTATTTTCTGTGGTAAATTGTGCCACAAATGCTGTCGCACCTCAACATTTCATCATAACTTGCTTACAACAGCATGTCTATCCATCATCTAGACCAGCACTGACCAAGGCTGAATTTCATGAAACTTTGTGTTGGTCAAAGCTGGTCTTTTCAGCCATTTCTCAAAACGTTCTCTTATAACAGCTGAGAAATTACGATCACTTTATTTAGCGCAGTGATGTTATGTTTATCTATGAAGGTTGAGACTGTCTGCCCGTCGAACACTGGCTGATTATTCCCTGCGGCACAATGTTTGTCTTGTGTTATTTTCAGCGCTGAAGCACTTTCTGTGGGCTGCGCTTATTATCTGTCATGACGGGATGTAATGCCTACTGTACTGAGCGAGTCCTCTGCTTCTCTCAGCAGAAGAACATGTTCGAGATGTTGCAGTGACTGGTTGGATTTCATCACTAGCATGTGAACAGCTTCTTCCACCTGGTTATACAGACACGTCACAGACTCCAGAGAGTCCCTGCAGGAGACAAAAAAAGACACATAGAAGTGTTGTGTGTTCTTAGCACCTGCACAAAACATGCGAATGTACTGTAAATTTCACATTTTGCTTTTAAATTAATTTATGGTAAATATGGAGTACTGGTCACCATATACTGGTCATACTTTTCCAGTTTGTGTTTCATATCATATATGGGTTCTCCAAAGGAGCTCACTGTGTGTATAAAGTCTCTTGCTGTTGGCTAAATAGGATTAACTGGGACCCAACAGCTGTCCAAACATTATGGGCACAGCTGAGCTCTAGTCATGATCAAACATGACAAACTTGAGCCTGCTGAGATTCAAACACACTGAGGGAAATACCTGAAGTCTTCAGACTGAGCAAATCGAGACTCTTCCTTCCTCATCCTGGCGAGAATAGACCCGCCTTCTCTTTGGAGGGCGACCAATCGTGTGTCTTCAAGCACCATCTCCATGGAACTCCGCTGCTCCTGGATGCAGGACTGGACATCCTGAACAACTGATTTAGTTAGTTTGGGAGCACCGTTCCTCAGGAGGTCAAATTAAATAAATGAGCTTTTATATTTTGCATTTGTTTAAAATTAAGTTTGCCATTTTTGAAATTACAAAATAAAAAAATAAAATAAATAAATAAATTATTATTATTAGAAATTGAGTAAAAATGTGAGAAATCTTTTATGGTACCACCTGTATTTTAGATCATTTTTTGTTACGTAATCGTTTACTGAACATATCTAATAGTTCTCAATGCAAAAACATGCCAATGTGCCTTTAAATAGGGATGTACAATATAACTGTACTATAACAGCTGATTTTAGAGAATTTTTGCTTTTTTAATTTATTGATATTGGCTATATTGTATATTTCATTTTGCATGCTCATTTCAATTATTTTCCACCTGTCCCGTTACCTAACACCCACTTAAAGGTCATTTTTCAAAACACTAATAATTTAATAACACTGTTAAATATAATCTCAAAAAGTATTCCTTTTTCATACTGTACATTATTACATTTGATTATTGTATTCATTTGTAGCACTGAAAATGATTGATTGCAGTGTTTGTTTTTCCTTTTATTTAGACAAAAAATTGCATTGAATTGTAATATCAGACATTTCTCAGTTTTCTGACACAATATGAAAATAATTACTATTAAATTTAAATATCTGTGCATCTCTAGCTTTAATGTTAAAAAAGTAATATGATACACATGTGTACTGTATTCCTGGAAATTGTCAGAAATCCGCTTGCAGAATCCAAAGTTACCTTTGCGGTGTCTGTTTTTTTAACATCAAGTCTCCTGATTGCTGTCTGCAGTAATGAAGACGCTGCTTGTAGGTCGAGTTGAAAGAGAGAACGTTTCTGAAAGACATATGCAAAACACACGTTAGACAATCATCTACATACTGTGAAAGAAGGGCGTCTGCCGATTATTCAGCTATTTGTTCAATAAAACATTTACGAGAACAAACCTAAAGCATGTGGCCAGCAGACAGACGGCTGAAGGTTGCTGCTAGTCATCATCAAGATGAAATGTTGTTTATAATCAGCTCACATAAGATTAGGAAAAGTCGGTTTGTTACATGTAAGTTAAAGAGCCTTTGGGTTCTCAGACCTCAACCGGACAAAACACAGAACAAATGTAAAGAGCCATTTGCTGTTGTCCAAAATGTTGTCATCCACTTCACTAGAGCAGATTGTGCAAGTTGACTTGCATCTGTTTACAAGTGTTTTAACAGCTGTTGACCGATGGTTTGAGAGAACACGTTCTTACAACAGAAACAAATCAAAAATGTTTAGTGAGTAAGTGGTATGACAACATAATTTTCTGCAAATGTGCTGCTATTTGTTGCATCATTTATATTGTGGGCCTTTTGCCACTTTACAGATCATAGAGAGAGAGAGAGAGAGAGAGAGAGAGAGAGAGAGAGGACAGGAAACAATGAATGACGCAAGTTGGACTCAAAGTGCCAGTACATGCGCATTAACTAAAGTGCTTACGCAAAAAAAAAGTGTTTTTAGTCATTGAAATGTTGGGCTACACTCACTCTGGGGCACCTCAAAGTTACAAGAAATGCAAATAATGATAAAACAAAACTGTGATGGCAGAAATTCTACATTTTACTCCACTATTTTTGAAAATAGGCTCATTTTCCAACTCCCCTGGAGTTAAACAGTTGAGTTTTACCGTTTTCGAATCCATTCAGCCGATCTCCGGGTCTGGCGGTAGCACTTTTAGCTGTAGCTTAGCATAGATAATTGAATTGGAAAATGAGCCTATTTTCAAAAATAGTGGAGTGTTCCTTTAAGAGCATCAGTATTCACTGAAAAGCTAAAGACATCAGTCAGAAGGGCATTGATTGGTGTTTTTGTGACTGCTCTTCTCCTAACCTGGTGAAACTGTAGCCAGTCTTCATGACTGTAAGGGAAGGTTCCACCAAGGTCAGAGGTCAGCTGCTGTCCATCAACCGTCTTATGAAGAGATTTTAGTGACGTCGCAACATCTATCTGAAAGAAATGATCGTGCACTTGAACATAATGTACTGCGTGTGTGTGTGAGACCCAAGCATAAGTACGATTTTTTTTATGTTTTTTGAAATAAGTCTCTTCTGCTCACTGCATTTATTTGATCAAAAATACAGTAATAGTGTAAAATATTATTACAATTTAAAAGAACTGTTTGCTATGTGAATATCTGTTAAAATGTAATTTATTTCTGTGATGCGCAGCTGAAGTTTCAGCATCATTTCTCCAGTCTTCAGTGTCACATGATCCTTCAGAAATCATTCTAAAGGCTTGCAGGTTTCCATGATGGTGTAATTGTTGGGTACAACGAGTGTGTTTGGGGGTGTTAATTACCTGTAGACCAAGATGTTTTTCTGGTCGAGGATTTGCGTCTTTATCAACAAGCATCAAGATAGTGTGCACTGCATGAAGGGCCTGCTCCTGTATAACACATGCATACACCAGACATATGGAATAGTGTGTGAAACATGCAGAGTGACTACAATTGCACTCTTGACTGCCATCTACTGGACATATTATTTACAGAATGTGTGCATATGAAGGATGTGTTCAGGTTTGCATTGATGTTGGTGATGATGATAGTTTTCTTGGCAGCTCCTCACCTGAACCATGAGCAGGGATTTGTAGAACACAGAGGGCAGAGGGCACTTCCTGCTGTCAATCACTACGGTCAGTCCCAGCTCTCTGACCTCCATCCTGTAAAAACATACATCTTATTTTACATCATATATGATTCTGGGGTTCATCTGAACAGAAAATGAATGAATGAATGAATATGTTTAAGAGTAATTAGACATATGTGGCAGGAGAATGAAATAACCATAGTTCAAGTTCAATACTGTCAAAGCAACTAACAACCATCAAAACAGCCATCAGCCATTGAAAATGTGCAGCACTTTTTTCATATAGTAATTATTGACATCAACATTTGAATCTATTTTAAGAGCGTGTGGATTTTTCAGTTCTTGTAAACAGGATGGCAATTCTAGATATAATGTCTCTTACTGCCCTCTTGTGGTGTTTGATCTGTATTTGGTACCTGGGAATAGAGTGCAGGTAAAGCAACAGTCTGCAAAACTCTTGAGGAGAGAGTTGAGAGAACGCCCAGCCTTTCCTGCCCCCGTAGACCTCAACCACGGCGCGGCCAGCTCTGTCACGACTGCCTGGTATTGGTAAGAGAACATGTTGAGTTAAAACATCACGATTTAACAGAATGACCATATTTTCTGTGCATGTGTGTAATGGCTTTGTCATTTTAGCAACAAACATGACAGAATTTAAGAGCAAAAGCAGATAAATCACTACTGTCTGGAGAAAACACTCAGAAAAGTTGTGTATTTTCAGTATTGGGATCGCACGTGGCTGCATGCTAACCGCTATATTATAGAGGCTTGTCAAAACTGTCAGGCCTCAAAAACTGTCAAGAGAAGAGTCAGAACGTTTCGTGTTTGCTGCCATCAGAATTTATATTTGATGCATTTAGCTTTATCTAGAGTGGAATGTGCAACATATGTGCATGTAGAAAGTTAGAAGCAAGTAGGCTAGTCATTTAGAAGGTGAATTTAGCAAAAGTAACCTTACGTATAGGTTCAGACCCCCTGAAGCAATCTGGGTGTTAAAGGAATACTTTACTCGAATATTAATCGAATATTAATATTTTTTTATTTTTTGTGATCATGATGTCATTTTCTTGTCACCTTAACATAACATTGGTTGTTTTCCTCATAGTTTCTTGTACATTTTGTAAGTAAAAAAAAAAAAAGCCTGCTTATTTGCTCACCATTTCCCTGGTCAAAGTAAAAACAAATTTATTCAATCATGATACAACCGTACATACAGTAGAAAGTCATGTTCAAGACTTTTATTATGTTGTTTTTTCATTATGCTGTTTTCTTCTGTACCCTCATGTAATTTGTACCCTGAATTGTTGTTTTGCTTGGGTTGAACATAAAATGAGATTTTAGGCCGAACTTAGAAACTCGATGGAAGATTATTGTCAATCTTAAATAAAAAAGCATGATAACAGTAGTCCATACAAGTTGTGTGTTACAGTATATTACAAGTCTTCTGAAATCATAAAATAGTCTTATGTGTGAACTGACATTAGTCACTGATGATTCTCCTTGTATTGAATTAAACAATGGTACTTTTGATTCTCTTGTATCTGTTTTTCAAACAAATTTACTGTATCATGTGTCATCAGATGATGTATGGACTGTTTTTATTTTATTGTTGTTGATGAAACACAGTAAATGTGACAATTTCAATGTTTGAGTGAACAATTCTTGCTCAAAGGAACAGTTGTTTATATATTAGTCTTTGCATGGATCAGTCCTAGCCCTGAGCTTTAAGACTACACCACAACAAATAAATTCACAATTAAAAATTGTTTAGGAGGCATACCCGGTAGACAGATGATGCCTAGCTGGAGAAGGCTGTTGATTGTGGAGTCCTGGGAATGTAAAGTTGCCTGAACTCCATTCTCAGGCTGGCCAGTCAAGAGCTGATCAGCATGTGATTTCTGGAGCTCTACTCCATTAACAGCTGGGTTTCCAGATGAGTAGACTTCTTAGAAAGACGAAAAATTACATTTATTTTCAACACTGGTAAATATACCAACACAAAAGATGGTGATTAAATACCTAATTCAACTTTTTGCAGTTTTTCTGAACTTATTGCATGATTGAAGAGATGTGTGTCACAGCTAGATGGAGCTGTTGATCTCCCCTTTAGAAAACCTTGAAAAAAAAACTAAGGCCACCGCCCTCCTCTTCCCATTTACAAAGACATCTAACAGCTTCCCCATAAAATGGGGGGGATGTAGTTATTTCTGTTCCCTGCTCTTTGCTCTTGGTCCTCATGAATGCTTTCATTCTGTTCTGCTAAAGAAAGAAATCAGATGAAGGACTGCAGAAATTCCCCTGTGGAACGCTCTGCACACACTTGACCTTTGGCCAGTGTCACATTGCTCTCTTTTAAGATGACCTTTCAGAAGGGTATATTTTCTCCTCAGCAAATGACCAGGGTCAAGGTCATCTGTAAATCAGTTGATATGTCATGGTGGGCAGCAACTAGACATGGCCTCATAGTAGTTGCGTTTTTGCAACTGTTCATATCAGTCATGTTTGAACATGCTTTTCATTTAAGGATAAAGATCTAAAAAACAACATGTTGGCCAGACGTCATGTTACTTTGGATGTTCTTTTGACAACAAAGGGAGATGCGGGGTAAAATCTGTATGCAATTAGTTGACACACACAGCAAGGAACCACAGCAAAGAATTGTTAGAATATTTTTTTCGTATTCGACTCTTCAAAATGCCTGTAACAAATCAGAAACACAAGTCCCTTTTACATGCAGAAGTCTTACTCTACTTACCCTTTCTTGCTTCTTGATGCCTGTTTAATTTTGGGGACACCAAATTAGCTGTGTGTTTTATTCCCTGGTCAGCAGGCAACATGGGAATGATCTCTGGATAGACATCACTGCGGCTTCGGCTTCTATTGGCAAGCTTGTGCGATTGCAGACACTCTCTGGTTATTTCTGAGACTGAAGAGGATGAGTGGGATTTAGACCTGTTTTTACCTTTGATCACCTGTACAGGTGAACCTGGGCCTCTTGCACTGAGTCTGTCATCACAGAGGACTTTGTAATCCAAAGGCCTTTTCTCGTTTTGGAACAGGATCTGACTGCACTGGGGCTGAAATAGAGGAGGTTTTTGTTCTGAGCCCTGTGTTAGCTGTTTCTGTGCATGCTGAATTGGATTGAAACCCTGCAAACATAGATAAGCATCTTGTCTGTTACCACCGTGGTCAGGTAAAGCCCTGAGTCCCATTTTGGGTAAGTGTTGGGCTTTGGCGTGCTTGTGGCCGCTAATCCGCATCTGAAATGAATCGTGTCTAAAAGAGTTGTTCAGACAGTGGTGTCTTTTGTCAGGTAATGCCTCAGTTCCAAGTGCAGTCTGATGGAGATCCTGTTGCCCAGTGAGGAATGACTTGTGTTGTTGTCTTGCTTGGACCATGCTAGGGATCTGTTGGGTCATATGTTGGTCAAGAGACTCTGCATTCTCCCTTGAACTACGGTCATGAGATATGCTCTGACTTGAGTTCTTTGGGCTTTGCTTTTGTTGGACTGAGTTCTCAAAGGATTGCATCGGGTTTCTGTCTGCTTGGTTTGGTGTCTGGCCAAATGTACAACTCGAAGGTTTAAGTCTAAGGCCAACTCCATGTCCCTCACAGCTTGGCTCAACCTCCCCTACATCTGTCCTTGTTTCATCTAGGGAAGGCAGCATACTTGCTCTCTCAAAATTCACAGGGTTTCGGAGGGCTGCCACGTAAGACTGCCTATACCTGCATTTGGATTCTGGATCATTTTGCATGCTCTCAGATGGTTTGTTTTGCATACAAGGATTGCAGTCCTCTCCACACAGGTTAACATTACTTTTTGGGGCAGGTTGAGCCGTCCTGACTAACTTGAAGCCCAGTTGTTTTGTGGGCATTGCTATTTTGTTGAGTACCAAAGTCTCTTTCTCTTTGTTGAACTCCATCAGATCCACATATTCTCCTTCCAGCTCTCGGTTGTGCCTGCTGTCCCAGGTATTGGGAGATACCCAGCCAACAGGTTTTCCAGCGAAACTGCTTATTGGATGTCCCTGGTCAACCTTTACTAATCTGCTACCACCCTCCACTAGCTGAACAGAAACCGCCATCCCATCATTTGCTGGAAGGATCCTAGTTTCCATCTTAAGTGGTAAGAGGCCTACAGGTACCAGTGACTGTGACTCGTTCTCTGAAATCTCAATTTTAAGATCATTCACACGGAGAGTTGGAGTTGAGCATGTATTTGTTTCAGGCCAGATGTTAGATTTGGGCCTGTCAAGGAATTCTGGGTTGGCAACTTCGGTCCAAGGTACCTTCACAACCCCCTGCTCAGAGGAAAGCACACACTGACATAGAGGATTTCCATGACGTCCCTCATTTATTTCCCTTAGCCAAGACTCCGTGAATATGCATGGATAAGATGTCTCAGGGATGGGTGTCCCCTCAATTGCAGGACCCTCCAGCAACCTGGAACCAGCTTGCAGCACCAGATTTTCTTGCCCCAAGAGGTCTTCCTGCACAAGAAGACTTTTGAGGATGATTCGGGCTGACTGTTCTCCAAAAGGTTCCACCTGCAAGTAGAAATCTCCAGGTCGGAGCAGTAAAGGGTTGATGGGGTTGAGTTGGATCACCACACGATCTCTCAGGCACAATGGCCAACCCTCACACCGGAACAGGACATCCGAGTATGCAGCCTAGTGGGAGAAAGAAAGGGCAAAGCTAGTTTGTTGATTTGCAGATCATTTTGGATTGACAGATTTTATGACCACAAGATCCTTAATGGCTTGGGTCTTGATGCCATTTATTAACTGGCACGCAAACATTCTTGAATCCCCTTCAGAAGAAGCTGCCTCGGAAGGCCTTTGTTCTTTCTGAAGAAAGAACAAAACAATCTTGTGCTAAATGGACAAGGATAAGTAGCTTGTGGGATCTGTGCCATAAAAGTCCACATGGAAGAAATGTGTGTGCAGGAAACTGCTTTCATCTTGCCCTGCATGCTATCATATTTTACTCTTTAAGGCTTAGTTCACCCAAACATGAAAATACATAATTGACTCACTCTTATGTCATTCTCACTGTCCTTTTCCATACACTGAAAGCATACACTGAGCATGACCTGCCATGCATCATAAAAGTAGCCCACGCAAACCTATATTCCAAGTCTTCTAAACCTTTATACTAAAGTTGAAGTGTGGAATACGTTTGTTTTGAGCACTAATAGCTGTTTGTCCAAACAATATAAGATGAAATGGTAGTTTTGCAATTGTGAAATTTCCTACTTCGTTTTAAAGACATTATTCATTAAAACTCTTTCTCCTTGCTTCAGTTCTCAAATCTCATTGTATGGCTTCAGAAGACTTGGAATATATGCAAGCCTTTAGACCATGTACAACCTTCTGTACTCCACATAAAAAAAGTCATACGGGTTAGGAATGACATGAGGCTGATGTAAAGGAGTGAATAATGAAAATGTTTTCATTTTTGGATGAAATTTTTCTTTAAATTATTAAATTAAAACAAGTCACTTGGTAGGTAGGCTATTGGCCATTTTAGATGGTTGGCTTTTACTGAGGCACTGTTGAATTTTAAATCCGATGGCCTTTTTTTTGTTGTTGCTGTGATTAGCGTGTTGTACTCACACAGGCTGCTTGTTGCACGCTCTCTAGGATATGTTTGGCTGGGATAAGGAAGTTCAGCAGGCACTGCAGTGCATCTCCATGGTAACGTTCCTCAATGGTGCGAAAGAGTTGGCTGAGAACAGTAGGAGCGGTAGCCTCAAACGGAGGGAAAAGAGACGACAGGGCGCTCTGAATGGACCAGTCCAGAGAGGAAGGGTTCTGAGGTGGAGAAAGAGAGAGATTTATTTGTGAGGCTTAATAACTCTATTCTTTGTATGAAAAAAATCCAGGGTTACATATAACATGATAGGCTATATGATATTGCAGTTATTGTGCATTATCCCTAAATGCTTTGTTTACAGATGTAAAATGAGGTTGTTGTCAAATGCCTGTGGCAAAACCTTTTCATAATTTCAACCCCTCCTAAATCTCACTTGTTACAGAGCCAGGCAAAGAGACAATGAAGCTTGTGTCATGTCAAGGTTTCACTGTTTTGGCCTAATTAAATCCACATTTTCCATTCTGTTGTCCACCATATGAAAGCAGTGTGTCTCTTGCCTAAGGCAATTTAAGTGGAAGAGACGGGCTAGGTTATCATATATGCATGGAAGAAATCATAATGCTGCTGTAAGTATGGCACCTTGCAGTTAAAGAGCCAGTCGGCTTGTTGCCTTGTTAATGTTCATGTTTTGAACAAAGGTGATTTAGATAGAAAGACATCTACAGAAGCCATAATGAGTATTACAATTTCTCCTGGTTATTTTACCTTTAGTGGCCATCTCCTTCTGCTTATAATGTCTCTGGGACTTGAAATTGTGAGTTTGGCCAAGACAGATACACCTCATTTGAGATGGTTTACCTCATGCAGAGCAGATTTGTGTCATTAGCATACAAGTAATACAAGGTAGAACAAAGAAAACACATGGTCTGAAAAAGTGAAACAAAAGGTGACATGAAGTGTGGGAATTTGTGCTCTGCATTTAACCCATCCAAGCGCACGCACACACACATACAAACACACCGTGAACACACACCCAGAGCAGTGGGCAGACCCCCCCACCACCACCACCACCCCCGATGACCTTTGAGTTACAAGTCCAAATCCATGTTCTTTTCTCAGCCAGTCCTCCGTAATGAGGATGTTGGGTTCACGTTTCCTGTGTCTGACTTGGAATAATGTACAAAGCAGATGTGGGAAAAGCACAGGAAATGCTGTCTGGAATACTAGTGAAATCTGTTCTTCTCCAGTCTGGATGACCTTGGTTTAAACCTTAAACAGACAAAACGTGTTACAGAATGGATAACCATCTACTGCAAGTTAGAAGTTGAAACTCTTAAACCGCATGTTTAAAATTTTTTTATGAAGCCTAGTGCAATGATTAACCATAGTGAGAAATGCATGCTTTAGCCGTGTTAAGTTGTTTGTTTAGTATATTAATTTTAGCCAAACAGACGTAGTGGCTTCCTGGTTAAGATGATTACAGTGTGATCTCAGAGAGGAAGTTTATGTCTACTTAGGAAAGAACAAACATAAACAAAACCCTTCCTTTTAGTTTAGAGTTTTACTTTCATTTTGAGTTTTTTAGTTTTAATATTTTAGGTTTTGTTTAGCAGTGTTACATTTTTTGGTAGGCTACAGACATGAATGATTCCTCCAAGTTATTGAATTACTGGAGAATCCCCAGTTTGAGTCATTGAATGATACAGACATTAGATGTCTGCTTCGTCATGTACTCATCTATGAAGTATGCACACATTGATGTTTAACTGCGCTAGACTTTCTCACGTTCTCACTATTTTCTGCTTGATATTCTTGATTTGAAGCAATTCGAATTGTAAGCTTATCTTCAGTGTGCATTGTTTCATGATCCTGAACAGAATTAGAACAGGACCTTCCACAATGAGTTTAATGATTAATAATTTTGAACAATTGTGGAAAGAAACAATAGCCTTTTTGTTTAATCGTTAACCAAAGTAGTTTGTCTGGCCCATGCTTGCGTCTCGTTCCGGGTGGTCCGTCCCAGGTGCATGTGGAACCTCTTCGGTCCTCTGGCTGACTTTCCCATCCTCAGCCTTTCTTCTTCTTCTTCAGTAAACTCATCTGCATGGTGCAGATCACTGTCTTGTCATGGCTCTGGGCCCGTCGTTCAGTTTAACCCCCCGTTACTTATCTGGTTACATGTCCACGCCTCTGTTTTCCAAACACGTCCAAGTCAAACTTCATTTAACAAATACTCAGGATCCCAAATGAAGTATATCTGGAGCCTGGCGCTATTCCTGTAGTCTGGTATTTGCATTCAAGGCTCTGTCAATTGCATGATTGTAAATATCACCCTTAGACGAAGCCGAACTTTGGAAAGTTAATTTGAAGGCCCATTTGATATCTGGAGATGAGGGTTTATTTTTCATGCGTATAGAAACACTTTAAAGCACTTAAAGAAATAATGTCTGTCTTCTCACCTGCAAGAACCCTCATTTTAGCAGTACAGTTTTGGTGTGACAACTCTCAATTAAATCTACACATAAATATCTGTTGCTAAAATATATTTTTATTTGGCAGTGCACATGTCTCTCTATAATTACATGACACGGAGCTCAACAGGTAATTGTAAGCTTCAATAATGTTTGAAACACACCAAAGCTCAGCTGTCATTAATTCTGAAGCTTTTTGCAGATGATTTCATAAATGCACAGCCTGTAATAAACAACCTGTTTCTCAGCAGCCTTGTATTTAGTGGTGTTTGTTTGCTAAGGCAAGCATCACTAATAGGTTACTCACTTACTAAAGACGCAACAGTATCAGTTAAGATTTTTATTGTGTGTCTTCCAGTCAGTTCTGTTAATTTATTATTCATTATGCAAAAAGTGTGAAAATATTTAATTGTGTGTATTTAGGATTTAAAAAAATGCATGCAATGAAATTTGATTTAGCAATTTTGGCCATTTCATTCCAAAAATAATAAAAATGTAATTTCCAGCACAGAATGCTATTAAACAGACATCATGTGAGGTTTGGGTCCCTGTTTAAAGAATCTTACATTTTAAGCACAGTGCCCTGCAAGTATGTGTCTACGTGTACAAAGTCGTATGTGCAAGGCCTAGGAGGTTTGTCATTTTTGTGCAAGTACTGTACATGTCAAGTATAGGTTTCAGGCATACCTGGGTTGGCGAACTTATGTGCGCTAAAATGCAAAGGCCGTTTTTGACTGTAATTGCAGAGAGGCAATGCTGTAACGTCAGATTTAGACATGGTCTTTAGACATGGAATCCAACTGCAAATGCACAGACTGAGTTTTAGACTTTATTTAGAATTTGATTTAATGCGTTCACGACAGTTGTATAATTGTTTGTGCATGGGCATATGTGTCTAACACGGGTGTGAAAATAAGACCTTTGGTGGAAATCACACGAGGGTGAAATTTTGCATTAAAAAATTGTCCGAATTCTATCAGTTGACAAATTAAATTAGAAAGAGTGTAAAAGTGTGTTTTGAGGAAGCTGTGTTTATCGGAGTTCAAGTCCACAGGGCCAAAAGTACCAATAGTTGACGAAAAGCATGCAAAAAAATGATGTTTGAAAACATGATGTGCTCAAATAATAAGTCTTGACTTGTGCATGTGGCATGGGACAAAAGAGACACTCAGAGCCTTTAAACCCCTCTTTTCAAGCTCTGTAATCACTTCAGCGTTGCACAAAGAACACAAAAATGTTAAAAGTACAAGTGCTTGAAGTTAGAAAGTCCATGTGCACTCTTGAGATGAACCGTAATCTAACCTGAACGGGATTCTTCATCATCTGTAAGCTTTGGAAAGTCTCTCATTTCAGCTGTCAGATTCCAGTAATTGTGATCTGTTTCTCCCAGCAGCTCTCCTTCTCTTCCTCCTCTCCTCCCTCTTCAGGACAGTGTTGTCTTTGTCTCTGTGCCACTGTGCTTTAACTCCTTAGAGAGGGAGTTTGGCACAATGGAGCTTTCTCGCACCACGGCCCTCACTCATCATACAAACATCTACAACATCTGACAAGCTACTCCTCGATTAACTCACTCTGAATGTGGTTTTCAAAATAAAGGTTCTACAGTGGTTTTAAGATTGCTTTCACAGTAGCACTTTTGGTGCAATGTATAATTTGTCTATGCATCTTCTTGATCATACTTATTATTCTAGTGCATTTCTTAGAATAAATCGCCTTCATACATTTCTTGCATTCTTTGCTTCTTTTGCAATCCATGCACTGCAGACAAACTAAAGTGCTGTTCTGTCCATATATCTCCTCTGACATCTGCAGGTCTCGCGAACACGTCTGTCTCTGCACGCTGCCAACTTATTATTACAGCTAGTATATTTTATTGACTTTCTCCCCAGTATGCGCTGCTGATGAAGCAATGCTCTGTGGTTTCTCGCTGAGATCCACGACCGCAAGACTGACTCCAAATGATCCCGGATATCATATTTCATTGGATTTTGATTGAGGGTCCTGGGACTTGTTTCCAAAATAAATATTGGCAACTCAAAACACACGAAAGACCACAAACATATCACGGCTGTATAGCACACATGCTTGCTTACGGTTCCCTGGACTTCAGAATGATTGGAGCATTGCGTCAGGTGGAAAAGTGAAAAGAAGAATTGAGAACGTTACCACAGTTTTGACAGATACACCCTAAAAATCTGGATTTAAAATCACTAGTCTATGATCTGGCAACCCGGTGTATGTGCCGTTCAGAAAACCCCTTTATTTCCAGGATGTTTTGTAGGGCACTGGGACACCATGTGACTGGGAACATCTGGATGATGAACCGCATGCTAATAGCAAACAGCCGTAAATCATCAGATTTCTCTTTGTGCACTTGACAGGAACTCGGCGAGGTCAGAAGGTCCGATTTTTTGAGGGGAAAATGCACAAAACATCACAGTCAGTTTGTTGATGGTTATAAAAAGCCCTTAAAATATATTTTATGACATGTCAGACACAGGGTGGTTACCCTCAGTAAAATGATGTGTTAACTTTGCAGAGTTACAAGAAAAACCTTTTCCATTTCCTTTTTATTTTATTTCCTATCCTTAAGGCATCATACTGACAGTGTTTCAACAGCTGTAACCCACTAACTTATTTATTATGCCAAAACAAATCTGTAAAACCACACTGGGGCTTTAATCCAAAGCTTAGTGAGCTCCCTACATAGGCAGTATTTTAGGGTGTCATAGGCACATTCTTCACGTTAAGGCTTTTCCAAAACATACTTTATCCAAATCCTAATGCAGCATCATTAGTACTGAATACCAATCCCAGAATGCACTGTGATAAGCGCAACAAAGTGATGGAAATACGGATTTGTAAATATCCACTTTTAGAGTATCACTTTATCTAAGTGATGTGCTACGGCTGGAGGATAAAAGAATTATCACAAGATTTATTTCCATATCATTCACTATCAATATTTTTCAAGATATTTATTTTATGCCATTAATAGGGAGCAAATGCATTTCACATGTTTATACCCTGAGAAATAAACACATTAAAATAAACATAACTTGTTTAAATAAACATAACTTGCTTGTTTACAATTAAACTCCACAGAATAGGCTAGCTTTTAATTTAGGGCCCAATTAAATGTATTTTATTTATCCCTAAATAAATGTTTTTGAATGAATACAAATGTATCATAAAAAATGGTGTCTAATGAAATTAAATCACAAAACTTTAACAATTTAATTGTTCTTTTAAAGTGTAATCAAATTAGAATATACCAAATAATTTATTTATATATATATATATAATTTTTTTTCCATGGTTTTATTGCGTGTATATAAGATGCTTACAAATTTTTCATTTATACAAAACTGTATGAATTAAAACATGAATTAAAAAATATTTTGGTTGTATGACATTCATAATAACAATAATAATAATAATAATAATGTACAATATTGTATGTATGTATGTATGTACGTATGTATGTACGTACGTACGCACGCACACACACGCACGCACACACACACACACACACACACACACACAGTGTCTGTGTTGAACACTAATCCTGTGACAGGTAGATGCCAGAAGGCATGAGTTTGTTTGGTGTTGTCGAGGTCTGTGAGAGCTGCTAACAGGCCCGAGAACAGCGTGACTGTTGTATGTATGTGAATGTGAGAGTTTAGTCTAACAGCTGTCAAACAGTCAGTTGAACCCCTGCACAAGAAATCAAGTGTGCAGGTGAGCGGCCTGCTCAACGCTCCAAACAACTCTCACAGGACGTCCCAACACTTCTGTGTGTATATTGCAACCGGTCATGTCTAACATCACATGATCACATCTATGTTTTTATTTAGCGTAAAAACCATGTGTGTTACTGTAACATGCTTAAAAATCGCTTTAGTGATCTGTTGTGCATGTCATATGCAGAAAGGTGTGTAGATGAGAAATTACAGTAGGGAATTTTATTTTAGCACTTTAACGCTTTGCTTTACCATAAATTATGGCAAACAAAAATTCAAGAGACTTTTATTGATGTTCCTACAAAATAAACATTTAGTGTTTGTTTTTTTCCAAAACCATTCTGTAATAAATTCTAAGCTTTGAACCAAAACAACTGAGATGGAAGTATTGCAATATGATAATAAATGTATTTGAACATCAACAAAAAAAGACAGAGGTACATGACTTCTTGAAGTAGTGTACTTTAAATTTTCTCTCTGAAATAAAATGTTTTTACATTGAAGTTGAACTCTACGGCTTCTATACAGCATGTACTACTGTTCAAATGTTTGGGGAGCGCTGAAAATATATTTTTTTAATTTATATTTTTATTATTATTTTTTATTTTTTTATTGTTGTGTTCAAAGCTGTATTTTCAGCATCATTACTCCAGTCTTCAGTGTCACATGATCTTCAGAAATCATTCTAATATGCTGATTTGCTGCTCAAGAAACATTTCTGATTATCATCAATGTGGAAAATTCTGCTTCATATTTATACAGAAACCATGATGCATTTTATTTTTCAGAATTCTTTGATGAATAGAAAGTATAAAATAACAGCATTTATTTGAAAACAGCATTTATTAAGCATATTTTCAAAATCCTTTTGTAACATTATAAATGTCTTTATTGTCACTTTTGATCAATTTAATGCATCCTTGCAAAATTGTTCTTACTGACCCCAAACTTTTGATCAGTAGTATATCATCACTAGTCTCAGAGCTCATTGTATGTCTGTTGTGAAGTTTTTATGTTATCTGTGAAGACAATAAATGGGATCTGACACTTCTCATTTGTCAATAAAACCAGGAATATCAGAAAATCACCACATGTTGGAACATTGGTGAAATGACAGATAAATACAGTATAAGCAATATAATCATCTAAAGGGAGTGTAGACTGGTTTCTGCTCTGCAGGTTCATATTGCAGTTGGCATGAACTCCAAAGGTCTGAATCCTCAAACATGCCTTAAACACACCTCGATCTGCTCTCATTAGTGTGTAAATCACTGCAGTATCAGAGATTAAACACACCTGCCTAACTCAAATAAAACAGCATAAAGCTTCAACTCTCAGCCAAACACCATCAGTCATTTTTATCAGTAACATACAATAAGACAAACTTCAAGAAGTCAATGCAAACTAAAGAAACTTTTGCAGCAACAAAGTGTAAAAAGTGACAAAACATTTATTTTAACTTATAGCCATGCTAAATGAACATTAATGCATGATAAGGACGAAATCATGGTCACCTACAACAGCAGTCAGCTATCACTAGGTCAGTAGTCCAGTTATCAGTGGTTCAGTAGGTCAGTGGCACAACAACACCGACCGTGTGTGTAAAAACTCAAATGAACGAGTCTTATTTACCATCTTGACGATTGAATCGCGGCTACTGAGTTGTCATCCTAAAATCTGTGCCTCCAGCAGAGAACAATTCCCAGTTTACTTCTGGATTGGTAATGGCAGCATTCCCATGATAGTCTCACATACAGAGGTGCTTCCATGGTGTCCGGTTTGGGACGGCTGGTAGATTTGGACTAATGTGGATTACAGCCATTGTTTAGCAAGTTATTGCAAGTTTGTACAAGAGTACGACGTCTGCTGGGAAATGCAAAGTTTCAAGCAGTCTGTCGTCAGCTCACTGCACCGTTTTGTCTCGACTGTAAAGTGCTTGAGAGAGAGAGAGAGAGAGAGAGAGAGAGAGAGCGAGAGCGAGCAAGTAAAGGGTCAGAGAAGAGGAGGAGGAGGAGGAGGTCTTTCTTTCGGAGGAAATCCCCCTGAAGGCTATTCATACTTTTCTCAGTGGCAAATCAGGACCTCCCTTCACACACACACTCGGTCAAACAAAGAGACCACTAAAGCCTCCCTAAATTCTTTCATTTCCTTTGTACAGTTCAGTTTCTTCTCGTTTAAACACTGCAGAGAGAGGGAGAGGCAGAAATATACAGAGACTCTTGGAATGTGTAGTTACACAAACACCTGAGTATTATTCACAGACGCTTTGAGGAGGAGACTGACGGATGAAAAACACTGATGTTTCTTAGAAGGAATGTCCATTACTTACACACACACACACACACACACACAGACACACAGACACACACAGACACACACACACACACACACACAG